TGTTTAACATTTCATGGGAAGAAATTCATTCGAAATATTCTTAAGATAATTGAATGCTTTTAACTTTCACATTAGAATCCTATCCATTTTTTGCAGAGGATCTGCATGTATGGGATTCGATCATTTGACTTGCAAATAATTGCTTCTGATTCCTTTTCACCTTAGTATAATGATCGATGAACTCTTTGTATATCTTCTCTAGGAAAATTCAAATTTTATAAATGAAGTGATAGCATTAAAGATTCAGTGGTCGGAATCACAGTATGAGATTAGTAAAGTTGTACTTGAGATGTTTACAGATCTTGATTAACATAGAAAAAAAAAAAGTAAGAAAAACAATCAACCAGCCGAATGCTCGAGTACCAGACTTGAAGTCCTCTAGTCACTGGGATCATTTGAGAACATACAAAATTAAATATCTCATTGTTAAACAAATAAAATATTTTATCCATGCATAGCGTGTAATATGGTGACAAAAAATGGACTGGTTGATATTTTCCATCCTGACAACGTATAAGAATAATAACCACAAGTAAAATTCAAGTCAAGACGAGACGGGGGGGGGGGGGGGGGGATTGGAAGAATTTGTTTACGTAACACACACACACACTCTCTCTCTCTTAAAAGAAAAATACAGAAAATATATAGATGTACGTGTTTTTGAGAAAAAGTCCTCTAGGCATTCTTAGGGAGATGGGAGATAGTTCTAAGCGTTTTGTTTTTGTACCAGAATAGCTAGACTTGCAGACTTTGTTTGGTCAACACTCGGTAATATAGATTAAATCTTTTTACTTTTTTAACCTTCATATTTTTTTTTAAAATGTACAAAAGCCTATATCAGGATCTATCTGTGCGGAAAAAAAAATAAAAAAAGAAAGCATAATAACGAAAAGTGAAAAGGCGTTATATAACGCAAGAAAAAGGCGTAATAACACAAAGAGAAAAGGCGTAATAATGCGAAAAAGGCGTTATTGGACCTTTACAATTGAAATTTTCATTGAAAGATCAGTTGTCTCCTTTCACCACTCACTTTTTAATGCAATATGGTCAAAATCCTTCAATATTAATGAATCCAAAATTTCACTTATCAAGATTTTTTTCCGGGTAAAATGTCGAATTATCACTTTACATTATACAAATAACTTAAGATAATGTTACATTTTTCATTGAAACTGAGACAGAAAAATTCCTTAAAGCTGGGAGCAAATGATTTTTAAGGAGCTTTCCGGCACTGTCTTTTTTTTTTTTTTTTTTTTTTTTTTTTTTTTTTTTTTGCATTATGACAATTTTAACATTTAATGCATTGCGACAATTGCAATTCATAGATGCTGTGAAAGAGAGAGAGAAAAAGAAAAAAAAACAAGCCTAGGACAATGCATCATATAAATTCTACGTGATAAGAAAGACTTTAGATCTAAGTTACTCTGTCATGTACCTTCAACGTGAATCGAAAGGTGGATTGGTGTAAAAACTTGCTTGACCTGTCTCAGAATAATCTATCATTTTTTGCCTTAGTACCCAAGAAAAGAAAAATATTCAATTAACTACTTGATATAGAACAAAGCTTTTTTTTACGGCATCAATGTTTACACCTTACAAATAAACTTTTCTGTTTTTCTATTAATTGAAAGTTCACTGGTTCTCCTTTTTCCTTCTATTCAAAATGGCAGGAATAATAGAATGAAAAACACGTGAAATTTCGTTTTCATCGAAGAATTGACTTCCAGCAAAGACCCTCCATCATTTGTTTACTTAATTAAAGAAATTGTACAAGCCGATAATTTTGTTTAAACAGTTAAACAACAGTTTCCTTTCCTTACAAAAAGAGGTTCGATATTCACAGCATCCCCAGCATCCCCTCACTAAATCCCATCAGTGTACTGGCTCTTTGACAAATTGTGTATCGGGTCGTTTGACGTGGGCCTTTTTAATATCGACTTCTATTCGGAAAAACAGCCAAGGCGTTTGTCCTATAGCTGACACCGAAATCATCCATACATAAGCCGAAGTTATAAAACCGAATACTCTCTCTCTCTCTCTCTCAAAACCAAAGTTTTTTTACTACATAAATTTTAAAACTCTGAAAATCCAGGATGGGGGTGGAGGTGAAGAATGAGTGGCCTCCCCCATTGTAAAGGATCCCTAGCTCGTTCCTTATATGAAATAGACTTCTGTTTGGGTATCTTTTTTTAGAAGAGGTGGGGGGTTACATGTCAAACTGAGTCTCTTTGTACCGAAAACAGATACTGTTGGTACAGTGGACCCAGATGTAAAAAGGACGGCAAACAATTTACTGTCATAGCCGAAGTCCAAAAATTAGTTTTAAGAAAGACCTACATTTTCGACTTTACTTAGAATTTTGATTTTATAAAATCCAAACACACAAAGGGACTTAATTCCCCCCTACCACTAGTGCTTGACATTATTTGTGCGTAACATCAAAGTGGGGTAAATTATAATGAATGTACTAGGAATCTGAGAAACCATTTCTTTTCACTGCAAAGATCCTGATACAGACATGGACCTGGGCTAATGCTGTGAAATATTCATGATGACTCGGTGTTTTATAATACCCAGGTGTCAATGGCCTCCTCGCCTCACCACTGATTAATACTGTAACAGTCTTTAGGTATTTTACTGGGTGATGCGGGGTTGTACCAGTCAGATTCTGGAACATTGGACCCAAAAATGTTGGAGAACTATAAATATCAAACTCAGCGTTATTAACGAGAAATGTAATATTCATAAATTAATTCGTTATGTTTATCAGTAATTTTTTGTTTTGTTATTCTTTAAGGGGGCTTATACAAATACATAAACTAGACAGGACAAGTTTGATTAAAGATATCCGCTCCTCAGCCAGGAACAATAACTCATAAAATTATTTAATTGAATAAGTATCAAAATGAAGCTTGAAAAAGAAATCTTTTTGTGCAACAATTTTCATTTCATGCACCTCAATATAATTCAAGGTATTTTCACTATTTCGAAGTCTTAGAAACGGTCTTGTAAAAGGTTGACATTTGCATCCCATAAAAGTACAAAAATAAATGCATTTTTAGAGAAATCGAATTTCCCTTGATCTTGCCATGTATACCAATGCTTATTAGCAAGATGTGAAATTAGAAGTGATTCGTGATGTCTTACAATGATAGCACAAGCTTTTTACACGATGTGTTATACAACAATTGAAGTTAACAGAACTAAATTAGAAGTATGAAAAACACACCATTTTCTCCAAATGTCTAAATACCTATAATTTTTACCCCAAAAATATACTTGTTGGTCAATTTTTTTAATTAGAAAAAATGCATGGTTCTTTTCTTCGCGATTCACGAAAATATGCTTGAGATTTGATCATTTCCCTGTATTAATCATAAGTCGAAAATATTGATCTTTCTTAAAGGATTTTTATCCCCCCTCTCAAAATTTTTTGATATGACAAAGAAATACCATGGGTAAATACACTTTACTCCATAGACATCTTTGTGAGTTTTATACTGCTGGTTTTCAGAACTTCAGGATCGGACTAGCTGTGGCTGTGCATTTAATAAGAAGTTAGTTGTGGAAGTGTGTGTGTCGAAAAAGGGGGGATGGTTTCAATGACGCGTGCCTGCAATAAAAGACAGATAACTCCTGTTCTAGACAATTAAAAGCTCTGGCTCCAGCACATATTTTTTCACATTTTTTATTTTGTTTTTTTTTTACTGACAAATTTTTCTGAAGTTCCAAACCCATACAATCAATTGTAAAATTGATCTGTTTCTTGATGTTTTATATAACAGTTTTGAGGAAAGAGTTGAACGTTGCCTAAAAATTGATCAGTACTGGGGATTATAATGTAATTAAAAGACAAAGAACGACAACTCCCAGTTGATTAGTAAACAAACTTCCTTAAAAAAAAATTAAACGAGTGGAAATAAAATCAAACAAAACAGTTTGAGATGTATACCAGATAGAAATAAAAACAGTCATATGCATCCTCTTCCTTTTTTATTAGCCAGACAGTCTCATTTTAGTTAAAGCGATCTAAATCTAATTAATTCGTTTACGGGATAACGAACTTGTTATAACCAGAACACTATAATGCATTATACCAACTATTCATATAGCAAGTTTTAGTAAGATTATTATCCCTTTACGGCACGTAGTATCGTTTTTGAAAGGAGATGGGGCAGAAAAAAATATTGACAACTTACCTGAAAAAACTTCGACATGCCGATATAAGAAGAAAAGAAAAAAAAGAAGATTGTCCAAACTTAAAAACCTATTTCTATCTGGGGGTGGGGTGGGGTTGGTGTTAGGTACTAACTTCTTTCACAACCAGGCCCCCTGTCCCCCTCCCCCTTTTTCTGATACTACCTGCCTGCTTTATAACGAGTTATTTAATCTTTTTAAATTTTACTTTCTCACATTAGGTGATAGTATTCTCTTTATAACGAGATAAATGTCTCTCTTTATAATAACGAGTTAGCATCTTGTTTTTTATGAAAGAGTTTCTCGTTATAGTTAGTTATCTCGATATAACAAGTTATCTCTTTCTCATGAGATAACTAAATCTCATTGTGCAGATATAAAGGAGATAATTAAGTTATTACACAGTTAAAGTATATCATTGAGGGAGTTAGCAAGATTCCAGTTCCCCAAGGCCAGGACTATTTCCCGAGGCGAAGCCGAGGGAAATCGTCCTGGTCGAGGGGAGCTGGAATCTTCCTAACTCCCGCAATGATACACTTTTAATTGTTTTATTATACCGATACAAACGTAAAATTTAGAGGATTCAGATAGCGTGATTTCAAAGCAGGGATTAGCTCACTGAACTAATACACGGGGGTTAGTCCATTCGCGAATCATACCAACGAAAAAGTAAAATCTAGAGGATTACGGATAAACGGAAAAATAGCTTTCGAAGCAGGGATTAGCTCACTTGACTAACGCACGGGGATTATAGTCCATTCATAACGATTTCTAGGGAATAAGTCACATCTTAGTATCTAATGTTATATAGGGAAAATCAGTAGAGGTATAATAAAACGAAATAATTATCTCGTCATAAGAGATAATAATGGATCTTATGAGTTAAATTCTTTTTGCATTTTTAAAAAGTAAAGAATGCCAGAATTTAAAATAATCAAAGTCTATAGCTAGTTGATAAAAGTTTTTATTTAAAATGTTTGAGGAAGAAAAGATTATACATGTCCCAGTTTATAGTTTTGTTTAATTTTTTTGTGTTAACTATTAAAAAGAGAATATAAATATCACTATATATAACGTTATAACGATATAACTAACTCGTTATAGCGAGTTATCAATTCGTTTTAACCAGTTTTGTCTCGTTATTACAAATTAATTTTTTATTATCCTTGTCAAAGATGAGCTTATCCAGATTTAGTAAAAACTGACACATGAACGGTAAAAATCAGCTTTTCTAAGCAGCATAATCTCAGATAGGGGTCAGTAAATATTTTTACCGTGAAAAATATATTTTGCAGTTATTAATTTGTATCCTTTTGGGGGGAAATGAACAAAGTCCCCTCTCCTCTTTTTGTGGTTCAGTCGATCATCATGGTTCGGAATTCTGAAAATAAATTTGTTCATTACATAGCGATTTTTGGTTGAATCTATTGGTCTTTAGATCATTTCCTTGAATTTAATTGTGTTAGCAGGTAAATTAATGAAACTCCTGTTTGGTGCAAAAATGTTCACCACATAACATTTTTCATCCGTCTATTTAATTCTATATTCAGCAGGTGTCATCACTGAAAAGTAATAGTGCAATATACATGTACGTCTAAGGAACTTGGTAAAAACATATTCATACATCAGCTTTTTATACCAGGTGAGTCTAATAGATGATCGCAAATTACATGTTGTTTGGAAACAATTTTATTCGCGTGCGAGAAATATTCGCGAGTTTCGCGATCTACTATAACTCGCGAATATTAATCGCCTCGAACCATTTATTTTACTTTGTATTTGTAGAAAATGTTTCCTCGGTCGCGAAAATTAATCGTCGCAGATTGATTTCAAACTGACGAATCGCGAGTAAAGTTGACGCGAATAGTATCGGCAAAATTATGAGGTGGAGGATAGGGGGAGGAAGGGGGGGGGTCCGGTTCCCACGGCCACGACATTTTGCCGAAAGTAGCTTTTCAGAAGCCATGTTTTAGTGGTCAATTCATTTGCTTTTTTGAATTTGTTAATAACTTTTTAATTTAAAAAAAATTGTTCCTTCTTTGCAGTGCTTGTTTTCATTAATTCAATGATCCTTTTCTCCTTTTGGTGGAAACAAGATGGAGCCATTGAGAACCCTGGGACAGAGAAGGAAAAAAATGGGGAAAGTTTTTTGATAGAGATTATATTTAAAAAAAAACTTTATTCAAATCACGGCCCCGGAGGTTACTGAGGTGGATATGCATCAAGTGATTAAAAATCTTGAAAATGTCTAAAAGCCCATCAGCTTCCGACGACTTTGCCTCCTCCCTCCCGATGCATGTGGAAATGGGGTTTATAGTAGCTCCAGTCCCCCTTTCTTACCCAGGTACCAGTCGTCAACATCAGTCAAATGACGGCCCTATACTCTTTAAGCTATATAAGTACAACAGGCATTTTGGGTATGGAGCACCCCCTCCCCACCCTTTCCATTTGTTTTCTTTTTAAATCTGGGATCGTCACACTATTGTAATTTATACATGTAGCTACCATTCATGCTATCTCTATGAGCTATTTGCTCGTTTTCAAGTCAGTGATACCTAAAAAGCGTTGTATTTTGTGCATCAGTCAAAAACCAGATATTTACAAATTAAATAGTTCAGAGTCAATTTTTGATATCATATATTGCATTTTAGAGAATATGAATAAAAGAAAAGTTTGTCAATCAGAGATTTAAAAATAAAAAGGGGCAGTGGTTCCATGCCCCAAAGTGCCCGCTGTGCTCAGGTCAGCTGCACCAGTGGCTTATAGAATAGAATAGATTTTATGGGGGCATAACATAGATACAAATAAGCATGATTTAATTGTGAACACTCAAAAGAAAACTCTTAGAGATATACAGCAATACAAAACATAAAAAATATTGATAATGAGTCTAGCGGGCAAAACAGGTGATGAGTAATTTGAATTATCTTCCTTACACCAGGAAGCTATTAGGGTTGTTTCCTAGAAAGCAGGGGACATTAAAAAAAATAGAAGGGGGTGTGGGGTTATCCCTCTAACAGGGGTTTGAGGAGGAGGGGTACCAGAATAACCGGGGGATTATGCCATTATAGGCGGGGAAATTCCTCGGTTCTAAGGGACAACCCTTTATATGGCATTATATGATTGATAAAGTTTGCAAGATGTGGGAAGCTTAAAGTGGGAGGAGCAATTTAATATCAATGAAATGTTTGAACTGCTCAGATTGTGTATCAAACATATAATTAAATAAAAACGGACAAAAAGGGGGGGGGGGCAAAAAAGCATCAAAATATTCCGGGAAAAAATGCCCCTTTTGATTCGAATTTTACAGTTAGAGTGTCACATGACACCATTCACTCGTCGAACGATAAGATGTCAACAGAAACTCGTGTTTTGGCAATATTGATATTCAAACTTTTGGTGTATTGTAATGTCCAGAGTAAAATTTTGAATCCTGTAATTTTAGGTAAGGAGATGTTTTGACAAAAGAATCGAGTTGATCTCTTAATATTTAAATGTAATTGTCGTGTTATGTAATGCATTATGCGTTGTCACATGTTGCATGTTGTAAGTGGTTGAAAAATTGTGATATTGAAATTTTGATGTTCAAAAAGAAAGAAAAATATTCTTTTTTATCCAATAGACAATTGAGTAGAAAATTATTTCTACCATGTAATACATTTATCTCCAAGTCCATTGATTGCGAATTTCCTCCGTTGAATGATTCATCCTACTTAGCGACCCGTGGTTAGTGCAATACCTATAATATAAACAAACCACAATACATGCAGCTTAGTCACTGTTGAAGTCACGGATGAATTAGAATACTAGTGCTGAAATGCCTATTTATCTAAGTGTATTAAATTTTGCTGAAATGTTTACACTTTTCTAGAATTTTACATTTCACCCATGGGGGCTCGGTTTCAGGATGGTGTATTTTGTGTATAACTATGTAAAGTATAGAGGCACCCTGGAATTGCATGGAAAGTCTAGAGAGAACAGGTATGGAATGGTTTCTGACTTCTCTAGACTTTCTGTGCAATTCCGGGATGCTATATAGTTAGAAATCATCACTTCTGTTGCTTTCAGTTTCACTGGTAGGTATCGTAGACGTTTTGGTTCACTGCATGTTTCATATGGCAAATGCAAATTGGCAGACGATAGAACAGAGTTATTCAATTATTTTTGAAGCTAGATCTCACCATACACCGGTAGGAAAAGTGAAGATATTGATTAAGTATGAACCGAGGCACCCCCTGGAATCCAAGATGGCAAGTTTTGTCCTTTCTCTCTTTTTTTATGTAAAAGAAATAGAATTTTTTTTTAAAACTGCAAATTTCAGCGATTTTCAATTTTATTATAATCAATATATTTAGACAGACATAGAAAAACACACAATACACAAAATACACCATCCTGAAACAGAGCCTATATAGTTTCACCAATGGTCGATGCTCCTCTATGTGGTTCACTTGGTCTTAAGGTGAAATTGATTGTTAACAGTCATCTCAAGCTTGGCCATAAAGCAGTTCCATTTCTTTATAACCATAAGTCTTGTACTCCTAAAACACATGATGATGCAAATAGGAATGTTTTCTACTATAAATACTATATCATTATGCTTTTAAATATAATTTGGATACTGCAAAGGACATGTTGTTTTAAATAGGAGTAGCAAGATAAATGTATTTAATCAGGTGTCATACGCAAGTTATTATCAGCATAAGTCCCCTTTTTGGAATAAATATGTAAGGTTGGTACCTCTAGATAGGAGTTTAACTTGGTGGAAATTATTTGAATGCTGCATATGGTTTACAATTTGGAAGTCATTTTGAAGGTATAGAGCAGGTCTATATACCTTAATAACTGTAACTTCATCTAGACCAATCGTGCATAAATGATGCATCAGGAGAACAAATTGCAAGGGTTTTTTAATTAAATTCCCTCTGTGATATAATTTAAAATTTCATTGATGGAACATTTATTGTATAAAAATAATGAATGTTTTGTTCATACAGTAAAACATGGTTACAGCAGACACACTTATAATGAATTCACATTTAATGCAAAATGATTTTCATTCCCTGTGATTTTCAAACTTATCGACAACGTAACAGATATAATGAATTAAGTTTAAAAGGAGTCAAAATTGGTCGTCCCTGGCACTTCACCATAAGCCTATTTTCCTGTAGATGATTTTCACCTTGTTGAGACATGTAGTGATAATCTTTTTTTTTTTATAGTATTAATATACTTTAAATTTATGTGACAGTGTAGAACCATATTTTGTTACAGCATTAAATCGGAGTATTTTTTCTATTTTCAGTTCCTGGAGATGGAGGCACGCAATTCGAAGCAAAGCTGAACAAAACCACAGCCCCACATAGCTTATGTGAATTGAAAACTAATGACTACTTCAGTCTTTGGTTAAATCTGGAGGAGTTAGCTCCCATTGTTATTGACTGCTTCACAGACAACATGAAGTAATTACTTACATACCACCTTATATATGAAACATAGAACTAAATCTGTTAAGGGGAGAAAACTTCTATGTGTGGAAAATTTTTGTATGGAATCAGATTCCAAAGAATTGATCTGATTTTAGATTGAGATGTTTTATAGATATGAAATTCATTAGGGGTAAAATATATAAACAATTTATATTGAAAAATTTAGTAAATCAGGATTTCAGGTACTTCAAATGATATTCTCTGATGTTTCTCAAGTAAAGAACTTTTCGTTTTGTTTGTTCGTGTATAAAAGGGCTGAGAATGAGTGAATGTACATCTCAGTTATACACTTCCAAGTCATTTCTTTAAAAACAAAACCTGTTTTGAATTTCATTTTTAATATGTAGGTACATCATGAACATAAAGTTTCTTAAGGCATATCTAAGCTTGAAATACAATAATACAAGATTGAGTGTAAATATACATGATATATGTTATTTATGTTCAAATTAAAATTTTCACCAATTTTGAGTTTGAATAGCCTTGCGTTTCTATAGTTAAATTGACTTTAAATTTGTCTGTTATTTAAATGTGGAGTCGGTAAATATATCGGTTATTGTTTTGAGTTTTTAATATCTTTGAAATGCAATTGATTTAAATTGTGTACTTTACAGGAAAGTCCTATCTTTATGTAAAGTACATGTAATAAAACAAATAGAACGATCTTTTTAATTTTGGTTACCAGAACTTATCAAAAAATATGCCATATATGACTTTAAACCAACATTTTAGTGCATAGAATTTTTCTAGTTTTTTTAGTAATACTCTAGGTTTGAATAACAAACTTCACATTTATTTTTGAAAAGTCATGATAAAACCAAATATTCGTTAGGTGCTTTTATTTATGCATAAGCACATGATAAATGCTTTTTTTTACTTTGAGGAGGATGCTATGTTAGTGTAATGCTCTGTTAATTGATGCACATTTTATGTGCATATGAGCACATGATTTGAGATACATGTTGTAGAAATGTTATTCTCAAAACATATACATGTACCATGCTTTTAGTGAAAAAGAGACTGTTGCCTTCCATATTAGATGAGTCTGAACTGGTTTCTATTCCACATTTTAAATCTCATCTAAGAGAAAATGCTTCACTAACAGTATAAAGCTTAACTAATTTTTCATGTCTACTGATGAGTGTCTTTCATCTGGTCCCTGTATGTCAGGATCATTTCTTCTAATGTTACTGTAGCTCTATTGTTCATAACTTACATGCATAAACTAAACTTTGCACTGATACATTGTATTTTAGGTTGGTTTACAATCGTACTACCCACACAACCAGTAACACACCAGGAGTGGACATCAGGATCAGCGACTTTGGGGGGACATCGACTGTGGAGTGGCTGGACCCCTCCCATCTGTCTGTCAGTAAGTAGCAATCCACCTGTATATGCCATTGAATGGGAATAAAGGGCTGCATTTCGTGTAGTGCTTGAGATGGTAATGTTTGTCTGCACTGTTCATTTGATTATTAGTTTCTACAGTTCAATTCAGTTATGATAAACTATATATAATTTGATTGGTATTCTTTAATTTCGCTTCAATGGAAGTATCTTAAGCTTTAAAGTCGAATGAATTGTGCTTTGATGAACAATAGCATGATTATAAATTTTACAAATTTATTTTCCTGATTTTAAATCAACAGAATATAGAAATTTAACTTACAGTAAATGATTGTAGTTTTGTAGATTTAAGATAGTTCACTCCTTGAGCTGTGGGACAGGAATCAGGTCCCAAAGGGGATCTAAGTTTTTATATATAAATGCTAGGAAAATTTTTTAAGATTACCTCTCAAGAACTATGGGCTCTAAATCATCAAATATTTATGCAAGTGTATTTATATATGTATACATATACACTATAAGTTATCCAGGTTCAATCAAGGGTACCGGGATCCCTTGATTGACCTGGATTATGGATTAATTTCCTTTGTAACCAAATAAATTTGTTTGTAAATTCTTTGCGATAAAGAAACTATGCATTGTGTCAACACATTATTTACCCCCGGCTCTAGCCAGGTATATGGAAATTAACACCTGGCTTGCTAACCAATCAAATCTCATGTTACAAGAACAAATTCCAGTTTGTTCAAATCATGGCAGGGATGTGGCCACAAAATGGGTTTTCAGTTTTACTAAAAATTATTTAATGAATTTCTAAGAATCATTGTACTTTAACCAAATGATATGCTTTAGGGTTTTTAGGTTTTACAGAAGGTTAGATAAGAAAAAGAAGCACTTAATTTGGCTCAGAAAGAAAACCTGTATTGTGATTTTTAGCATTCTCTATCTATTCTGCCGCTATGCTACCAACACCTCTGTCAACACTTGTTGTACAAGATTCTTGTACAACTTTTAAATGGTGAAAATTTGAAATTAAAATCATAATTAACTTTTGTAATTATTGAAAAAGATGATAATTTATCATTTCCTTTAAATTTATCACCCATCAAAATTATTTATTTTCATAGTTTTGGGGAAAATATTTTGCGGAGTAAATATTAAAAATTTGAATAAAAAATCCTTTTGAGGGGTAATAGATTAATATAAATCCTGTTTACCAATAAGAAATATAATTTAAAATGATACTTAATACAATTTTTCAACTTTTACAAATTTTACAAGAATCTTGTATAACAAACGTTGACAGAGGTGTATGTGGGAGCTTAGCAGGAACGACAACTCTGGACAGAGAATGGATTCTTAGATGACTGTTAAGAGTCTCCTTTTTTTTTTTATCAAACAAATGCGGGAACAGTTTTGATTATAGAAATTCAGTCTACTACTCATTTTGTTTACAGCTTCGTATTTTGCACCTATTGTGGAAGCTATGGTGTCCTGGGGTTACAAAAGAGGCATATCAGTTCGAGGGGTACCTTTTGACTTCAGGAAAGCACCAAGTGAGACGTTTGTTATTTATACACTATATTAAATTTTAAATTATGTAAAATATTAAATGCCAGAGACTTAACAAAATTTACACTGCACATTGATGGAAAAGTAACATCAACACCAAAAAAAATTTGATATCTTTTGTACTCGTACATGTGAATATATCATTTACTATTAAAATGGTACATAATGTACATGTAATGGCCTTGCTCGTGAATTTTTAAATGGAAACATATATCCACATGGTTAAATTATTTGATCTGTTGACATTGTAGATAAAGTCAGTTCATAAAGCTTTAATGACCATTTGACAATGTTAATAGATGAATTTAAAGAGCTGTACCAGAAGATGAAGGCCCTGATTGAGGAGACTTACAGGATAAACAACAATACTCGTGTTATCCTCCTGGGACACAGCATGGGTAATCCCACATCTCTCTACTTCTACAACATAATGTCCCAGGCCTGGAAAGACAAGTACATCGAGGCCCATGTTAGTCTGGCCGGGGTGTGGACAGGAGCTGTCAAACCACTCAGACTGTTTGCTTCAGGTTTGTACAATTTTGATGTCTAAACTTTGCTTTTTTAGCTTTTGTCCAGTTTTTATATAGGTTTCATATGAGCTCATGCTGCAGCCTGAGGGTGGGTGGGGGGATTTGATTATATGTTTAAAAGCACTTGATCTTGAAAATTTATTTCTACTCCTAATCATCTTAAACAAGCTTAAAAATTTGATATTGAACAAAGAGTCCTCAGTAAATTGTAAATTTCATGTCACATGAGTCTTAAGTGCTGTTCCTGGTGGGAATGAGTTGGTCATATCAAGAAAACTCAAGATACTCTACTCAGGAGGCAATCAAGGTTCCAGAGTGTCTTTACTCTGTCTCTCCTCCACAATAACCATGTTAGTCAATACCTTAGATATTATCACCAAAGAACAATGAGTGTTGCTGCAGACATTTATATGATTAAATCTCTTGCCATCTTATAAGGAATAGGAATATTTGCAACATTTGTGAAGATATCATCTAGAATATTGGTATTATTTAATCAAGATTTGATTAACAATGGTTTATTCATGCAAGTGAGTACCGATGCTTTTTTTTAATTGCTGAGAGTATGCTTGAGTGCATGATTTAAGTAAAACTTAACCGTTTACAAGTTCAGCCTACATAAAAATTCATTATTCTGTTAACAATTTTGATGGGCTACTTCATAAAACGTACATGTATGTTGCAGTGATTAAGATTATGATAGTCTGCTACTGTATATTGCATATCTGCAATAAGGTTAATTTTTATTTTCACAGGTGATAGTCTAGGTGTATACATTGTTAAACCTATCAAGGTTCGTGTAGAACAACGGAGCATGCCCAGTAGTGCATGGCTGATGCCTTCGGACAAAGCCTGGGGTCCAGACGAGATTCTGGTGATGCAGCCAGAGAGGAACTACACTGTGAAGGACTACAAACAATTCTTTACTGACATCAACTTCATGGATGGATGGTACATGAGGCAGGATACTGTCAATCTGATCCGTGACCTTACACCTCCAGGGGTTAAAGTTCACTGTCTACATGGGATCAATGTTAAAACTCCAGGTAAAAAAGCAATATAAACTATATCTCTCCCTCAAGTTTATATTATTAGTTATCCAGGTCCAATCAAGGGTGTACAGGGATTTACCCCGGGTTTTATTCCATACACCCTGAGGCCGAAAGGTGTATGGAATACAACCCGGGGTAAATCCCCATACACCCTTGATTGGACCTGGATAACGAATTTATTTCCTATGTACCCAAATAAATTACTTGTAAACAGGTCTAATCAACTGTGTTTCAAGCTATCGATAAAGATTTACTACGTCCTACAATGCATCATGATGACATGTTATTTGCTTTTTATCATAGAGAAACTATGCATTGTGACGTCACGTTTTTTTCCCCCGACTCAAGTCGGGTATACAGAAATTTACACCCGACTTTTTAGCCAATCAAAGCTTGTGTTACAAGTTACATAGGAAATAAACATTTATGTCTCATGCATTGGAAGTAAGAAAAATATAAAGAAAAATGAAAGGAATATGAAAAACTTCTTCATGTAATTACAAATTATTTTAGGTACTTTGGTGTATGATAAATCAACATGGTATGATTCACAGCCGAACGTCATAAATGACAACGGAGACGGTACTGTAAATATCCGCAGTCTACGAGCATGTCTGAACTGGCAGAAACAACAGAAGCAACCAATCTTCCACAAAGAGTTCCCCAACATTGACCACATGGCCATTTTGAAGTACTCTGGAACCATACAATACCTCAAACAAATATTAGTGGGAAGTTGATGACAGTTTTCTGTTCATATTGATTAAAAGTTCACCTTTGTCAGTCTGAACCTGGTCTCAACAATATTTTATTGGACTGAATTTAAAAACCAAACTTTATTCCAGTGAAATTGTTTTCATATTCCAGTTTTGAGATTTAATTTAAAATAATTGCTGATTCTTCAATTCTGATACTTACTGAGGGTAGTTCATTAGTAAACTGCTTTGTTTATCAATTTTAGGCAAGATTTTTTTTTTTATCATATGTAACAATTCTCTAAGCTATAGCATTTGTGCCAAAAAAATTTATTTTGATATTTTATGTTTGATGATGTTTAGTGTAGGTTCCCTTGTCTTGATACATACCTCTTTGCAAATATTTAATTTCCACACAAACCTACATAAAGTGTGAAGATGGTGAATACAAGGATAGTGATTTATGATTTTATCATATCATCAATTAAACCATTGTTCATTCAAGAAGAGATTGCCTGGAACACTGAATAATTATATGGTGTGTAATGCCTTATAGATATTGAATATTGAGAGATCAGTGATATTTATCCTTCGGTTTTACAAGATGGAATATCAAGATTTGCAATAAAACCTCTCTGTCTAAGAAAAGAAAAACCTATTAAACTTCATTTTCACATATTATAAGGGAACACAGTATTTATTTAAAATCCTCTAGTAATATTGTTTAATGTGCGCTCTTTGAAGGTTATTAGAAAGAAAAAAAAAATGCATACTTTGAATTAAACTACATTACATAATATATTTGTATGAAATGTCATTCCACATTTGGTATGCTACTGAAAAAGCTGGTTTAGATAGAGTGGTCGTGACCAAATTCTGTAATATTTAGATTGTTTGATATTAATGATGCTTTATTATATACCCAACTGTTTGTCACTCAGTTTTACTGTTGAATTTATGCAATCACATGACGGTGTGATCCGACGTTCCGGATCACCACACTGTGGTTTTCTGAATCCATATCACCCCTCTCTGAAACTGATGACGTAGTACACAGATAAATGACGTTTTTATTCTCGCGCATCAAAAAGTTCCCTGACAAAATGGTTTGTTTATGATGTTTAAAAGTTATGCAATTGATCCAAAAAGTTTTCTTTTATTATATTTTGCTAGTTGTAAAGGGGGTATATAATAAATTTATCATTATAACAGTAACTTGATCCGAAGAGCCGTATCACGTCTCGTTGACAGGCGCGGATCATCAGATCAAACTCGACGCTTCGCGTCTCGTTTGATCTGATGATCTGCGCCTGTCAACTCGACGTGATACGGCTCTTCGGATCAAGTTACTGTTATAATAATATATATATATCATATTCATATAACTATTGAGATTAAACACTATCCAGAGGACTAGATCTAACAAATCATGTATTCCATTCTGTATGGTGTATTCATCACACTGTGACATGTTTGACTTTAAAACGAGGCATCTTCTATGATATTTATGATATATATATTAAACATACATTTTTTTTTTTGCTTTGAGAAAAGAACAGTATTCTATCTGAAATTACCCAGTAACATGGAATTCAGAAGAAAAAAAATTTATGCCATTTCATTGGTGTCTAAATATTATATACTTATGTCATAATGTTTTCTACATGTATCTTGTCAATATCAAACCATGGTACACGTGGTAATTAACAATATACATTGTACATATGGATGTGTCTTTACATAACATTTATGTTGATACGTGTGTGTTTTGTATACCTGGATAAATGTTGTGTGGATGATATGTGTTATTGCAGTGTACAATTATTTGTATAGTTGAACAGATCTAAATATGTGCAAAGGTAAAACATTCAAACATATTCACTGAAGATGTCCTATGTGATGCAGGACTTTTGTTGTACTAGCCTTTTTTCATGCATATCATATTCTCTGTTTTACCTTTGATAGTCAAGGCAGGTGGTGCATTAGAATGTTCTCTTCTTTAACAAATTGAAGAACTACTTTTTTTGTTATTAATTAAATTATTTATGACTCTATGGAATGTGAGATAGGTTAGACAGGAATTAATTACATGTTTTACAATATTTCTGTTAGTGTAACATTGGTTGGGAAAACTCAATCACATTTACCTTTACAAATATCAACAATTATAAAACATTGATATATAAAAGCAGCTTTTGTACGTGCACGTTATAAATCGGCTTCCAATGTACATCATGTTAGAGCTTTGTGAATAAGCCATTTTGTCTTTTCATTGCTGTATTGAGTGTCTTTTTGTTTCTACATCCATTGATGTACCCTTATCAAGTTTAGAATGGGAAGGGTTTTTTTATTACTTTGATTTTTTTGGTCATTTGTTCAATTTGAAATTGGCAATACCTATACCCTTGTTTATAGCATAATAAAATGAAGCCCACTTGTATGAGAACATTACACAATAAAATACATTCAAACATGTTCCCAACAAGTACTTAGTCTAGTACCCCAAAAAGTGTTTGCCTCACAGAAAAGAGCAAGTATGGTAATAACTGAAGAAATTCATCCTAAGCAATTTAAATGTTCCTATCAATTAGAAAAATGTCAATAATTATAACTTTTTCCAGGAGATACATTTTGTGTCGGTAAATGTATTTGAAATTTTCAAACCGGTGTTAATGGCATGTCTTATGAAATCCATGTCTCAAATCACGAGGTTGATTTGGTAATTGATAGTGGAGACATTATTTTATTTGTCTCTGTGATAGCTTTATTCATGTATAAAGATGACCATTAAAGCAGATAACATAAGCAGAATTTGTACTTTCTTTAGTAGCCAAATCCAGGTAATTCGAATTTGAATGAATCCGTTATGGGTGATGTATCTCATCAAGGAAAACCTCAGATCTTTCTTACGAAATGGTGTGGTAGAATGTAATGGCGAAAATTAAGGTATGTTAACAGTACACGGAATAAATGTATCTGTTTGTCTCTTGCAAATAAAAAGTGATGTAGAATGCTGTGAATGTACCTATCTGAGGAAATGTACTTAGAAGACGGTGGAAAAAGAGACAAAGTCGAACACAGTAACACAACTTGTTTAGTAGGTCACCATCAGATACTTTTTAGTTCACCTGAGCTGAAAGCTTAAGTGAGCTTTTCTGATCACATTTTGTCTGTCTTCCATCCATCTGTCCCTCTGTAAACTTTTTACATTTTCAACTTTTTCTCTACAACAACTGGGACAATATTAACCAAACTTGCCTCAAAACATTCTTGGGTGAAGGGGATTCAAGTTTGTTCAAATGAAGGGCCACATTTTCTTTAAAGGGGAGATAACTAGGAATAAGTGAAAGTTTGCTGGTATATTTTAAAAATCTTTTAAAAGAACCACCAAGCCAAAAAAAGTTGAAACTTATGTGAAACTTTCTTTACATAGTGTAGATTCAAGTTTGTTCAAATCATGACCCCTGGGTGTTGGGTGGGGCCACAATGTGGGATCAAATTTTTACATAGGAATATATATGAAAAAAATCTTCAAAAATCTCAAGAACAGCGAAGGCATGATTGGTCATATTGATACGGAAGCATCCTCAGGCAGGGCAGATTCAAGTTTGTTCAAATCATGCCCTCCATGGGTAGGGAGAGGCCACTATGGGCAATCAAATTTTTACATAGAAAGACATGGGAAAAAATCTTTTATAATCTTCTTTTCAAGAACAACAAAGCCATAATTAGTTATATATATATGGAAGCATCCTCAGGTAGTGTAGGGAAGCATCCTCAGGTGGTGTAGATTTAATTTTTTTCAAATCATGACCCCCAGGGATAGGGAGAGGCCGCACCGGGCGATTAAAGTTATTCCTAGGAATATATAAGAAAAATCGCTAAAAATCTTTTTAAGAACATCAAAGCCATGATTAGTCATATTATAAGAAGCATCCTCAGATAGTGTAGATTCAAGAGTGTTCTTATTCATGCCCCAACTTTTATATTTTAACTTTTCAATGCTGAAATGATTTCTATTTTTTCCTAGCCATAGTGCTCGTGTGAGCGACGTGGCCCATGGGTCTTTTGTTTAACCAAACCAAAGTCTTGGACTTGCATTTACAGCATTGGTCAAATATGCTGTCAGAGCTTCATATGAATTATGAAAATGGGATGACAGGGGATGACCTTATCCTCCGACTGTAAGTGGGATACTGTAGGTCTTATCAAGGGGGTGGAGGGGACCTGTCCTTTTTTCTGAAAGTAAATTTTTAGCTTTGGCAAATTGCTATACATGAAAATTCAATTCAATTCACTTTATTGACAATTACCATGTCGGCATACAGTCATGACGTAAAACGAATTAACAAGAATAATACATACATATACAAAATGACAAATGTGAGTTGAACAAAATAATGTAGAGTATATTCACATATTTCTAAGTATTCATTGCTGACTTTCTTTTCTGGTGTCAAAGCACTTTTTCAAAAAACAACATATCCTTCTAGCAGTTGTAATATTTGTAGGATTGACAATTTTTCTAATGGGATTATCACTAGTATATGTGTTTACATTGAATATATCAGTATAATTGCATCTAAATTGGTCATACTTTGAACAGTATAGAACAAAATGTTTTTCATCTTCAATAAATAATTTACATGAATAGCATAAACGTTTTTCTCTAGGAATAGGGGGTTTACAGTATCTGCCCGTTTCAATATACAATGGATGGGCACTGATCCTTAATTTTGTTAATACAGATCTAAAACTTTTCTTTAAAGGCAGCTTTAAATAACTTTGCAATTTGTATTCATTTTGAATTACAATTTTACTATAAAAAGCTAACTTTCCAGAGTTTGATTTGCTTATATTTTTCAGTTGTTCATGTATCTTGTTTTGGTAATGCTCTTGTAATTTGTTTTTCAAGGTTGTGTGAGAAATATCCAAAGAAGTGATATTTAATTTTTGTAGTAATGAAGACAGTTTTCTTTGCCAAGATATTCTAGATACAAGTTTTTTGTCTTCTTTAAATGCAGAAATCACTAAATAATTATTATAATCATGTTTGTTTTCCATTTCCTTAAGTCTCTTAAAATATTTAAACATATATTCATAACATAAATAGTACAAAGGAAAACGACCCAATTCACATAAAACAGCAAGATTTGATGCCTTTCTATGTACCCCTAGTATGTCTTTAAATATTAAGTGTTGTGTTTTTTCAAAAGGAAATTGGTCTGAAGACATTAAATCACATTTGAAGTCAGTTATCCATACTTCAGATCCATATGTAATAATTGGTATTATCATTGACTGGTATAATTTTAACATAATTTCAGCTGAAAAATTAATGTTTGCAGGAAAATTTGATTTAATAGCATAATATGCTTTCCTAGCACGTTCTGATAGTTGTTCAGCTGCAAATTTCATTTTTCCATCAGATCTGAACACAACACCCAAATATTTATATTCATTCATTATGTTAATCATTTGGTGATTGTAATAAAATCTAAATGATGTTTCATCATCTGTTTTTCTTGAAAAAATCATAACATCTGTTTTATCCATATTAACACACAATTTCCAGTCTGAACAATATTTTCCTAAAACATCTATACAGTTTTGTGGACCAACTTCTGATTCTGATACAAGGACCAGATCATCAGCAAAAAACATATGATTTATTGGCATAGTATCTAGATATGCAGGATTTGTGCTTACATTTTTAAGATAATTCACAAAATCATCAACAAAGATATTGAAAAGTGTTGGACTTAAATTATCACCTTGTTTGACTCCTCTATTAGCTTTAAATTTTTCACTCATTTGATTGTCCTTTTTACAAGAATAGTATGTATTTGTATACATGTCTGTCAAAAGTTTGAGAAAGTTACCACCAATACCCTTTTTATTCAATTTGTATAAAAGTGCAGATCTCCACACAGTATCAAATGCTTTTGAAAAATCTACAAAGCACACATATAAATTCTGTTTCTTTGTATAAAGATATTTGTTTACAAGTGTTTTTAGTACAAATATATTGTCAGTGGTCCTATGACCTTTTCTAAATCCAGATTGATATTGACTTAGTAGGTTATTTGACTCAAGATAATTATCTAAGCGTTTCTGTAGAAGGCCTGTAAAAAGTTTTCCTAAACAACTTGTAACACTGAGACCCCTATAATTGTTTGTATTATTAGGATCACCATTTTTGTATAATGATGTTATAAGTGAAAGGTTCCATTCTTTGGGCATTTTTCCATTTTTAAGTAGAATATTAAACAGTTTTGTAAGGACAGGTAAAAGGGTAGTATTGTTTGTTTTAATAAACTCATTTAAAATTAAGTCAGGCCCAGCACTTTTACCATTTTTCAGCTTTAAAATGCTTTGTTCTATTTCATCTTGAGTAAACAAAAAGTCTAATGGATTTGGTTCAGTATTTAGTTCAGTGTACTTGTACGTATTTCAAGCTCTCTTCATCAGTATATTGAATGTTCAGTAAGGATTTGTAGTGGTCAACGAATTCTGAAATTCCAATTGTTTCTGCATTAGTTTTCTTTGATTTATTTTCTTTTATCTTATTCCAAAATTTACTGGAGTTTTGTGGCGAAAGTGTGTTAATTTGTTCTGCAATACTATTGTAAAAATTAGATTTAAGACTTTTTCTTAGTTTATTATAATCTTTTCTACATTTTGCAAAGGCATGTTTTAGTTCACAGTTGTTTGGATATTTGTGTACTTTCTTCCCTAAATTTCTAACTTCTTTTCGTAGGAGTAAGCAATCTGTAGTCATCCATTTTGGTCTTTGTTTATTTTTTCGTTGTGATTTTGTAAATTTTGCAGGTTTAAATGGAACACTTTTATTAGCTGCATTAATTATAATACTTGATAGTTTATAAACGAGATCATTTGAATCATATGTGTTATCATCATATATTTGGTCAAGTAAATTATCCAACATTAGTATTTGATTTTTAGTTTCTTCCTCATTAATAGCTTCTGCATATTGGTTTTTACAAGTGCTTGACCAGAGATATTTCCCCTTCAAAGAGTGCATTTTATATTTTTCATTGCAAAACACATTTGTGTTCATATTAATACTTGCAGTTATAAGGCAATGATCTGATATTTCTGTAGGAGGTAATACATTAAAATGTTCAATTTTATGATACAACTGACTTGATGCCAACATATAGTCAACAGTGCTTGAACCATTAGAATTAAAAAATGTAAAATAGCCAAGTGAGTCACCAAGAAATCTTCCATTCAGGATGGATAATCTATATGTTTTGCAAATATCTGTAATTAGGTGTCCATGTAAATTTGATGTCTTATCAAGTTGGTTTCTGTTCACTGAAATGTCAGGTTCATATATGTATTCTGGTAGAGGGCAATCCAAAAATGTATCATTCAGTGTGTCATGTTGTATAAAATCTTGCAGCCCTCCTGTACGAGCATTAAAATCTCCACAAACAAAAATTTCTCCTTTGCTTCTATAGTTTGCAATTTCATTTTCTAAATTAGAAAATATTTCTTCCGATTTTGCCTTACTTACGTATGGTTTTATATAACAGAAGCAAAAATAATATGAATCAATATTCTGTTGTGATTTTGTATTTCGAGTGTTAATTTCAAGCCAAATGCTATTTTCACTTTGAAATACTTTTTTGAAGTGTTTGTATATTGTAGGTTTAATATATACATGTAATCCACCTGATGGTCTACCCCTTTTCTTTGTCTTTTTTGAGTTCAATACAAATGGTGGAGAAAATCCTGGAAGATTTCTTGTTGAATCCTTCAGCATTGTTTCAGCTAAA